CTGTCCTCGGTTTAGACTGGGATTGCCATGGCAGATCAATGCAGCCTTAAACGAGATGCCGTTTGACTGCACTCCCCGCATTCCCCATTGCGGTCATTAACTGAGAATCGTCATGTGACTGGGTGGGAGTGAGTGACGCTGAGTTGGCCACGCCCACCCAGGTTTGGGCTCCAGGTGTTTTTTGTTTTCCTGTGGGAAACTGGTCGAAATGGCTCTTGAGTGTTGACCTGCTCCGATCCATTCCAGCTTTGGCCCCTCGGACCCGAAGCCTCTCTATGGTAGCCCCCCCAACCAGTCCCAGCCGCAGCGCTCCAAGACCCCTGCCCTCCCCTGCCCCGGCTGCCCTCTTGCCCCCACCATGGACGAAGCGTGCCCTTTGGGCCACACCTGGAGCTGCTCCCTGGCTTGCCTCTGCTTCCTGGGTGTGCCAGAGACCCTGCCCAGCCCAACCTCTAGTGGCTGCACCTGGGTGGATCTAGCAGGACCGGAATAGAGCTGGAAGCGGGGGGCGGGGGGTGAGAGTGGAGGCCCTGGAGGGAAGGTGCAGGCGAGGGGGGGGGGGGGGGCTGGCGGTATTCCGGGGGGGGGTTGGGGCTGGAGGGGCTGGGGGCGGGCAGCCTCCACTGGCCCTTGCTGGGCTTACTCTTGGGGTAGACCCGCAAGGTTGCTTTCCACCTTCAACCAATTTTAGTCAGAATAGAGCTGGAAGGAAACTTGGAGGTCATCCAGTCCAGCCCCCTGCTCAGGACCCCCTACTGTTTCAGACAAATAGCTGTCTAACAGCCGGGAGTTCGATCCTGATGGGCTTGAGATTTACTCGGCCTCCCTCCCTCTGTGGTGGGTAAAATGGGGACCCAGATGGGGGGGGGGGGGGGGGGGGGGGGGGAGGTGCTGACTCTGCCCAGAGAGGGCTGTGAAGCACTACGGAGCCCTATCTGAGCGTAAGTGTTATGGCTAAAATGGACTTTTATTGAGGGGGGGGAATGGCTTCGTGTCCCTGTGCTCCGCCTGGCTGCGTGTGCTGGCACATCGGGCCCGTGATTGGGCCCCTGCCTGGGGAGGGAAGTGGGTTCCCCTTCGGAGATAGTGGGGGGGGGAGTCCTGTGAAAGCCTTTCCAATCCAGGGGGTGGAAGAAGGCCTCTGGGTGGCCCCTCCGAGGAGCCCTGTCCCTCAGGGCTGGGGATGAAGCTCTGCGTGCCTCGGGGGTCTCTGCGTCTGTCGGCTCCCTTCGGGGTCTCCTCGTCTGCCTCCTCCCCTCCAAAGAGGCCTCTGCTCCTCATTCTGTAGAGTGAACTGGCAGGCCTTCTGCCCGGGGACAGAGCCAGGAGAACCTGCCTCCCCAAACAGGGCTGAGCGGGGGCGAGGCTCCCACTCTTTCACCCGGTGGGGGGGCTTGGCAAGCATGTCCAGAGGCCTTGGGAGGCAGGTCCCACCTGAGAAGCCGGCCGGAGTTCCCCCTTTTCTTCCTTCTCTCTCCCTTCAAAAGCAGCCCCCCTCCTCGCGATCCTTTTTTGTGTCTCTGGAAACAGCCATTTAAAGGGGGGGGGGCTTTGTTTCTGTATATTCAGATTTGTATAATTAAGGGAGGCAATTAATGGGGCTTGACGGCCGGGTTCCAGGAGTCCCTCCCCAGCCCGTTTTGCCCATTTGTGGGGGCCGCGTTGGGTTCGTCGCAAGGCTTTGGGTGCTGAAGCCGCTCGCGTCCCCCTGGCAGGTGAGGAGCTGACCTGTGTTGGGGGCAGGAGGCCTCAGAAGGGCGGCCTTCCCTGTCCGTCTCTGCCTGCCGGATCCTGGATGTAAATAAAGGTTTTCCGACACTCGTTGGTTCCTTGCGTGGATTTCCCGGCTTCACGTTTGTTGCTTTCTTTTCAATATACTGACGATCTTCTCTTTGTTTCATAGCATTGAACGGATGGGTTGATTATTCTTTTCAGATATTAATAAAGCAGCGGAAAGAAGAGAAATGAATAAGCCTCCCTCAAGGTCCAGCCCATCGCGAAGGTAAAGTACTCTGAAGCCCCCAGTTGACTGGCTGAGCAGGCTGCCTCCCAGGCCCCGGTGGAGCCTCTCTCTCTCTGAGGGGAATCTGGGGGGATTCCCGGCCTCCTCCTGAGGGAGGGGAGCCTGCCTCTCTCTTCGACTCGGGGGCCTCCCTGGGGAGTGCCTCGGGTGGCCCCGCCATGGGCCGCCGTGGGGGTTGCGTGCGTTGAGGGCAGAGGCCTCAGGGGAGCAGCTCCCCTTACAGAGGCGGCCCTGGTTTGCCACCACGTTGCCCCGAAGATGGACGCGAGATCTCCTTTGGCAGAGGATTCTTCGGCCCTCCCTTGGCACTCCATCTGCGTTGTGCCCACCACGTTGGCATCAGCACAGAACGGTGTGCAGCCTCTGACCTGAAGACCCTTCCCACCAGGGCAGGAGCTGGGACGTACCGGGGGGGGGGGGGCGTGGGGTTGCGCACGCAGGTGCCCGAGCCTGGCTTTGTCTGGAGGCTGTGGGCAGCGCGCATGCGGGCGCCTGGGCCTTGCCTTGACCCGGTGCCGGTGAGAAGAAAGCGACAGTGTTGGGGGGGGTCAACTGGTTGGAGTCCTTCCGGAGCTCCCGTCGCCTGCTTACCCCACATCTGCCGAGCGCAGCGAAGGGCATCGCCCCAACTTCTCTTCACGGTTCTACCTGCTGCTGTCCTGCCCCAAGTTTGCCTGGCTCCTCTTTAAGCCGACCTTGGGCATCCTTTCCGGTTCTCTGGCCCTTCTTGTGTCCCCCTGGAGTAGACGGTTCCTTTGGACTTGGCGAAATCAGACTTTCCTCGTGTGAAGTCCAAGAACCCCCAAGGTCACCCTCTCAATCGGCAAAAGCTCTCGGTGAGGTGTCCCACGTACTGAAGTGCCATTTCCCCACGTCTCCTGGATTCTCCGCGGGTCGCTGTGCAGGGACCAGGGCAGGGAACTCTTCCAGTTACTCTCCACGCTGCTGGTGGAGAGGCAGCCGGGGGGCCAGGAGGACTGGTGCTGGGGTGGGGTGGGCTTCCTTGGCTGGTTTGGCCCTTCTGGAAGGTGGGGGTCTCCCTGCCTGTCTCTCGGGAGTTTGGCCTCACCGGGGCCGTGTCGTGGCTCCTGGGAAGTGCTCCTCCCTCCCTCCCAGGATGCTCGGCTTCCACCAGCCACCGGCTTCGGTGGCCCCATGAACTTCCTTTGGGGCCAAGGTGGAGCCACCCACCCTCCCTCCCTCCCTCCAGGGCTGCTCACGCCAGCTTCCTTGTGGGGCTGTTCATGCTTGGGGTCAGGGAAGGGAGGGGCGTGTAGGGCTGAAGGCGCCTCCCAGGCCTCTTTCCGGCCTCGGGAATCTTCCATCGTTGTGCCGTGCGCTGCTTGCTTGCTTGCTTGCTCTGGAGAGGAGCACTAGGCCACGTGCTCCAGAGGGAGGCCGAGATGGCGTGGCTGCCTTTCTAGACTTGGACGTGGACACCTGCCTGGCTCACTCTCCTGACCCCCTTCCCTCTTAAGGTCTTTTCCCGGTCCGTCCGGCAGGGAGCCCGTCCCTTTCAGCGAGAGAGACGCGCGGAGGGACCGCTCTCCCAACCGGGGCAGCCCACGCCGGGATGGCAGGAACGGCCGAGATTCCCGGGACGGACGGGACGTTCGGGGGCGAGAGTTGCGGGGCTCCAGAGATCACCGAGATCCCAGGGATTCCCGGGACGCGCAAGATTCCCGAGAGCCTCCCTACGACCGCTACAGGGAGCCCAGGGAGGCCCCCTACAGGTTGGTGCAAGGGGGAGGCAGGCTGCGGGGGAGGGGTCAGGCCCCCGCCTGGCTGACGGGCTGCTGCTGGCCTCTGCAGGAGAGAGGAAGGCTACGACCGCTATGCCCGGATGGACGACTATTGCCGCAGGCGGGAGGAGCCCTCTTACGACCGCTACGTGGCCCCCCGCAGTGGGGACACCCTGGACAGGCCCACCCTGAGCAACGAAGGTCAGGCCACGCCCGGCTGCCCAAGGGGGGTGGGGTGGGGTGGGGGAGGCGAGGGCCGTCCTCATGCCGGCGACCTTCCCTGCAGAGCGCATGAAGAGGGAGGAGAGGCGCCGGGAGGAGCTCTACCGCCAGTTCTTTGAGGACATCAAGAAGTGCATTGATGTCGAGCGGCCGGTGGATTGCTCCGTCATCGTGGTCAACAAGCAGACCAAGTAGGTGGCTGGGGGATGGGGGGGGGGCGAGGCCATCCGACTGGGGTGGGCAGGACTGGCCAGGGGCTCCTTTCAAGGGCCCTGGCGGTGCCCTCTGGTGGACGCTGTTCTCTGGGCTTCTGCCCGACGCAGGGATTACGCCGAGTCGGTGGGGCGCAAGGTGCGCGACCTCGGCATGATGGTGGACCTGATCTTCCTCAACTCGGAGATGTCCTTGCAGCAGGCCCTGGACGACGTGAGCCAGGGGGGCTCTGCCTTCGCCATCGTCATCACCCCCCAGCACCAGGTCCACCACTCCTGCACCGTCAACATCATGTTCGGCACCCCGCAAGGTAGGGGCTCCTCCGCCAGCCCCGCACGGTGCATCCAGGGAGGGCCGGGCAGCCCCCCCCCGTTGCTTGGCTTGAGCCTAGCTGACCAGCTTAGCAGTTTGATTAAGCAGGGCATAACTGGCATCGTACAAACTGCCTGTGGTGTGTGTGTGTGTGTACATGTGTGTGTGTGTGTGTGTGAGGTTGTGTTTGTGTTTGACAGAAAACCTCTCTCTGACCTCAATTAAGGCTCCACTCCACCCCCACCCCCCCCAAAAGCAGCCTCGAGCTGCTGCACGAGTCGAGCTGTCTCCAACCCTCTTTGGATCCCGGGTGGATCCTGCCCTTCCCAGGCCTCCGAACTCAGGGGCCCAAAGTTGGGTCATTCGGCTGCTTCTTCACCTGGAACTTTATTTTATGGAAGAATTTGAGGAGGGAGTTTGACTCCGGGGTCTTGGCCAGGAGACCCTTGGCAGAGGCTGGCCGGGGAGCCTTCAGAGAGGTTAAAGAGCACAGAGTGGGGAGGGGGGTGCAGGAAGCCCCCTCCCTCAGTCTGGTCCCTGGACCTGCCGGGGTTTATCCTCCTGCTTGATACAGATTGGTTTTCTTCCGGGTCATCCTCGTAAGCTGCCCAGGGCAGAGAAGTGGGCGTGGTGGGGGGACTCAGGGCGGCTTCTCTCCCTCCCACGCAGAGCACCGGAACATGCCGCAGGCGGATGCCATGGTGCTGGTGGCCAAGAACTACGAGCGCTACAAGTCGGAGGTCCGCGAGAAGGAGCGGGAGGAGATTGCCAGGCGGGCGGCCAAGATGGCCGACGAGACCATCCTGCAGGAGCGGGAGCGACCCCTGCCGGCCGACGAGGGTCTCCGCGGTACCCACCCCCCAGCCATGCAGGCCCTCCTGAACCTGCTGGCGGACAACCGCTACCTGACCGGGGAGGAGACGGACAAGATCATCAACTATCTGCGGGAACGCAAGGAACGGCAGCTGCGCGCCACCACCGAGCCCCTTTCCGGTAAGCCTCGCCCCCCTTTCACAGAATGCTGGGTGGGGGAGGGGAGGGGGCAGTCGAGAGGCACAAGGCTGTGGGGCAGGGCTCACCTTGCGGCTTCCCTCCTCACAGCTTCGCTTCCCAGGCAGACGATGGGAGCCACATCGGGGTCCTTGGGGCCCGCTTCCCAGGGGCACCAGAGCGTCCAGCCTCTGCCGGCCTCTGCCACGGCTACTGGGCCCTCCAATCCTCAGCAGGAGCTGCAGGCCAAGATCCTCAGCCTCTTCTCCAGCGGGGCGGCCAGCGGGGCGGTGAATGTGGCGACCGGGGGCGGCTCCGGTGTGGGGGGGTCTGCAAACACAGGGTTTGCTTCCGGGTCCAGCACGCCTGGCCGTGGCCCCCAGCTGGGCGTGGCTGGAGGCTCCCAGTCTCAGCAGCGAGCTTCCTCCCAGGGCACCCAGTACTCCAGCCACTCGGGGTCCTCCAGGACGGGCGGTCCCCGGCCTTCGGCTCCCCCACCGCCCTCCCAGACCCACTACCAGAGCCGGGCCCCTGCGCCCAACAACATGGCTGCCTCGCGCCAGGCTCCATCCCTGGGGATCAACTTCGACAACCCCAGCGTGCAGAAGGCCCTGGACACCCTGATCCAGAGCGGCCCCGCCCTCTCCCACCTGGTGAGCCAGTCGGCGGGCCAGTCCCGGGCGGGGCCCCCTGCCCAGCAGGCCTTGGGCTCCTACCAGCGGCATTACTGATGCCCGCTGGGCTTTTGGCTGCCCGCTGCTGAATGTTCTGGATGGTGCATGTCCCCCTCTCCTCCCTGGGCAGACAAGGGCTGGAGAAGGCAGCGAGCCCCCCCCTCTTCTGCTGGACCCCCCCCCTCCCGGCCCACTCCTTCCTTTTCAGCTGGGAAGGGGGACCACGAAGGGCTGCACCCTCCCAAGCAACAAGGGGCGGTCCAGAGCTGGCCAAAGGGGGGGGAGAGGGGGGGCTTAGGGGCCGATCTGTGCGTGTGGCTGCCTGAGAGGTTTTCTGGCTGGCCTGTTCTCCCCCCCCCCCCCCCCTTTCTGTTTAATGTTGTAAAATTTGAAAGTTAAGTTTTGGGGCAGCTCAGATTCTTTCCCGGGTGGCTCTTGGCGGAGGCCGGTTCTTTGATGGTTCGGTTGTGTAGAGGCAGGAGGACGTCACTTTTTAATAAAACTTCCATAACGTCTACGTGTGTATGTAGGTGTATATAGACGCCCCCGTATATCCCGAAAGTGGCCGCTTCAGTTATTTCAGGCTGCGGCTGCTGGAACGTCTGGGGGGTTTCTTTTGTGTCACGAAATGCCACGGATTAGCCGCCACGGCTCCCACGTCCCCCCTTGGCCTACCAGGGATGGTCTGGGGCCACTTGGCGGTTCTGCCCCCAGCCCAGTTCACAGGGGGGGGGGGGCTCCCACCTTTCCCTCCCAGGGCGCTTCTCCCAAGGCAAGTGGAAGCCAAGTGGAAGGAGGAGGAGAAGAAACCACCACCCAGGAACTCCAGTGGCCTTTGGGACAACCAGGACCTCCCTGGGCGTCTCCTGCCTTTCCTGAGCCCAAAGGGGGGGGGCTTTTCTTTTAGGATCAGCTCTTGCCCGGCCTGAAGGTGCCCCCAGCCTAGGGGGGGGCTCCTTCCCTCTTGCATTCGCTTTGGGGCTCTCCGGCCCTTGGCTGGGCCTTGTTGCCCGGGGGCCTTGACTTCCTGCTCGCTCGGTTGCTTGGAAACGACCAGGCCCCTGGAATGGTGGTCTGCCTGGAGGGCCGGTTTTCCTGGGGGAGGGAGGGGCGGTCCCAGTCCGCCCTGCGAGCATCCCAGGAGGGGGCAGCCTTGTCTTCCCTGAGGCTTGGAGAGAAAAGGCCCTGAGCACCGCCTGGCATTCCACACGGTCGCAGCAGATTCAGGCCAGTGAATAGGAGGAGAATAATCGGACCTGGAAAAGCCTGAACAAACTTTCCTCCTCCTGTTCCCCCCCCCCGCCCACGGCCCCCAAATGGGCCACAGCTTCTCTCTGATTCGGAGGGTTTCCCTCATTTACCCACTGCCTCCTTTCAATGACCTTCCAAGGTGGCTTTCGGTCCAGAATAGCCGCCAACGACCTGGCAGGTGAAGTGACTGAAAGAAAGAAATATGGGGGGGGGGGGGGGGGGGGGCAACAGGGAGGAGGCGAAGGAAGCCCGGCAGTGAAGTTGAAACGGGATCTGCTGCAGGCAGGGCGGTTCCTGGCCGCCCTTGGGGCCTGCTTTGCTCTGGGCAGGAGCGCTGGGGAGCAGGGGGTGGGCCAAGCGGATAGGCGGGTGCCGGGCCTCCGCTGCACAGGGGAAATCCAAGGACTTCAGGATGATGGGCTATGGTGTCCTGGGACGTCTGAGCGGGATGGTGGAAGTCAGGGGGGGGGGGCTGCTGCCTGGAGCGATGAGCCTCGCCCGGCCCACCTGCTGGTTCCTCAGAGGCCCAGGCCAGCTCAGTTTCCCTTCTGTCCTGCAAGGGGCCTTGGGGGAAGGGGGGGGGCAGCTGCTGCCCAACGCCAAGGAAACCCTTGCCCTGCGGCTCCCTCAGCCGGTCCAAAGGTGCGTTCAAGGCAGGAGCGGGCGAGGGGCACAGGAGCCCCTGCCATGCACCGACCGACCCACACCCCGATTGAGGCTCCCCCCCCCCCTTGGGCTCCCGTCGCTCCCCACTCTCCCTTCCGGGGCAGGGCAGCCTGCTTCCAGCATTCCCATCCCCTGGAATTGTGGGGCGAGCAGGGCAGGGACCCCGGTGTGTGTGTGGGGGGGGAGTCAGCTGGCACGGTGCAGGCTCTGGAGAGGGCAGAACAGGCCCGCGGGGCTTCCTCCTCCCCGCCAGGCACCCAGAGGCCAGGAACACGTGGGCATCGGCAGTAGCCTTCCAGGAGTCCGGCTTCGGAGGGAGGGGGCTTCGGAAGCCACGGGGGCCCAGGAGGGTCCCTGCCCACAGAGGCTAAAGGAGGCGGGTGGGTCTCCTGCCGGCTCAGGCAAAGGGAAGGGGAAAGCGGGGCAGCTGCCCCTTTAGCGCCACTGCGCTGGTGCAGTGGAAGAGCGGACCGGCAGCACCACCTTGCGGAGGCTGCCTGGAAGAGGAGAGCTCCAGGCCCCCAACGCCCCTGAGATGCCCAGGCCAGGCTCGGCCCTTGTCAAAGGGGACAGAATAAGAGAGCTGAAAGGGACTTTGGAGGTCTTCTAGTCCAGCCCCCTGCTACAGCAGGAGATCTATCCCGTCCTGTCCGATCTCTTCCGGTTGAAAACCTCCAGCGATGGAGCCCCCACAGGTTCTGGAGGCAGCCGCTCGGCTGATTAATTCTTCCCCATGATCAGAGCATTCCTCCTTCGTTCCGGGTTGCTTCTATCCTTCATTCCTTAGTTCCGTCTGTTGCTTCTCGTCCTGCCTGCCTTCCTTCAGGGGCTTTGGGGAATAGGTTGAGCCCCCCTTCTCTGGGGCAGTCCCTGGAAGGCCGGACAGTTGCAGAAGGGAAGGAAAAGGTTCCGGGAACAGGGATACCTGTCCCTGGAATAGTCCCCAGTTAGTGAATGTCTCCTGCTCTCTGTGCATGAGCAGAAGGCCGAGGCCCTGGGGAGCCTCTCGCTGCTCCCCCTGGCTGGCCTGGGTGGCAGAGGGGTCGCAAGCAAGGGACATGGCCCCTCCCTCCCTGAGCCTGGAGGCGACCATCATGGAGCCTTCTCACAATGAATCCCCCAGCTGAGGATGTGGGGGGGGGGGAGGGGGGAGCCCACCTGCAAGAACATTTGCACCAGACTCGCATCCCACCCTCCCTCCGGTCGCCCCTTTTCCAAGGCCAGATGTCCTCACCTCTTCGGCCTTTTGGGGGGGGGGACACAACGGTGGCCGATTCAGGCCAGCCCCTTTTCAGCACAGAGCTGACCTTTTCCCGCCACAGAGGGCGACCCCTCGAGTTCCCCACTTGTGCTTTTTCCACCACCAGGGCTGGTCCTTTTTCAGCTGGTCTGCTTCCCCCGACCGACCGAGACAGGAAGACGATGGCGGCAAGGCAGCTCCCCTTCCCGTGGGGGTTTGCCTCCTGCCCCCCCCCCCCCCTTCCCCCCCCGTTTTCCTTCTCCCCCGCTGGGAGACCCCCCCCCCCCCGTTCCCTCCTGCCCCCTCCCGTCTCTCATTCATGAGCTCCCCCGCTTTATTTTCTCCATTCCTCCTCCTCCTCCTCCTCCTCCTCCTGAAGGATCCTCTTCTCCCTTCACCGTGTTCTGAATTGTATCAGCGTCCAACAAAGGGGAGCCTTTGTAGCTCCTGGTGTTCCCTCCGCTTGGTTTTCTGGCAGACGTTTCACGACCCAGCGAGGTAACATCGTCAATGTCACTGATCATTAGCACTGATGATTTTCCCTCGTTTGAGTCATGAAAGGTCTGCAAGAAAACGAGCAAGCTCAGAGAGCACCAAGGGCCGCCCCCAGCCCCTCTTTTCTGCCAGACCCCCAACCCTCAGCAGACGGACCCCCTTCCCGCTCCCTGGGACTCCCCAGGCTGCCTCAGGGACAGCCTAATGCTGCACGAGAGCGCCTCACTGGCCCTGCAGGATTTGCATCCTGCACCGCATCCCGTTCCCCAGCAGCCCCTCAGGAGCCTCTTCCAGGGTGTCTGGGCCCCAATCCTGCCTTTGCAAGGGAGGTGTTGCTCCTGGAGGCTTTCTCAACACAAGGCCCCCAGGGGCAGCCAGAGGACCCCTGCAAGAGTGCGGGTGGCCCAGCCAGGTTGGAGGATTGAGTCTCTCTCTCTCACTCTCTCTCTCTCTCTCTCTCTCTCTCTCCCTCCCTCCCTCCCTCCCTCCCTCCCTCTCCCTCTCTCTCTCTCTCTCACACACACACACACACATGCCTTCCGTCAGGGCAAAGCGTCGCAGGCGCCAGTCTGGTTTGGGGATCCTAAGAAGACACATGGCGGCGGCGGGAGAACCCTGAGAGCCTGACTGAGGTGGGGCTGCTTGGGGCAGCCCGGAGGACAGCAGTTGCCACAACCAGCAAGGGTGAAGGGTGTAATAAAATCCTTTTATTGCATTTTGTGCAGACAGAAGTCTAGAAAACAAAGTATACGGTATAAGCCTCAACACAAGCGAAGAGGGGCTGTCGCCCCCGGATACCTAACAGCACCGGCCACACAAACACTCGCGGAAAGTAAACGCAAGCCCAATGCGCCTCCCTGGGGGGACAACCGGGGTTATTTACAAAGAGCAAAGGGGGGGGGGGGGCGGCGTTGGCATTGCGCTGCACAAGGATTCCCTAGAACACAAGGCCTATGAAGAAGCTCACGACAGCAACTGCAAGATCGCACTGGAGTCAAAGTCACTCGGATGGACAGAAAACGGGAGCTACGGTGACCGATTATAAAGGTACTTCATGAGCTGACTGGTGCCACATTCATAACAAAGATATTGCACAGGAGCACGGGAAGAAGAGCTGCTGCCGACCCAGCCGTGGGCCCTCCTCGCTCGCCCCTTGCCGCCTCGCTCACGCGCCCTCCGGCCGGGAGGGGCGGCCTCCGCCTGGTGAGGGAGGGGGTGCAGCAACAGTACAGTGGGCTGCAGTCTGGATCCAGGGGGGGGGCAAGCGTCCAAGGCCCCCCTCCCTGCTTTCCCAGAGCACGAGGCGGCCTTGGCGTCTTCCGTGCAGGGCTGCAGTTCCTCCTCCGGCTTTGGTCAAGGGGGCCCTGGATCCCCACACGCCAGAGGGCAGCAGGAGCCAGCACCGGGACCAAACATGCAGGGTCGGGAGTGGGGGCATGCAATGCTCCGGCTAGCCAGCTGTGGGGCCCTCTGGAACGGGAGGCCGGGAGGAGGCTTGTGGGCACAGAGGGGCAGCAACCGCCATGAGACGAGCCTGGCGCCTTCCCCCGGGGACGGCCAGAGGGAGGCTGGGCCTCTGCCACCAAGCGAGAGAAGCCTGCCTGCCTTCCGGGCTGTGTGTGTGTCAGGGCTGCGTCCCTTGGAAAGTGCTGACAAGGGGCCTGCTCTTGGAGGGCAGAGTGCGTGTGTGCGTGTGTGTGAGAGAGAGAGAGAAAGAGAGAGGGCATCCCTCCATACATGAAGCATTCTCCAAAACTCCCCCCTGGTTCACCCTCAGCTGTGGGGTGGCTAGTCGCTGGGGGGGGAGGGAGGGAAGGGCCAGCTGCTTAGAGGGCGGCCAGGGGAGGCCTGGAGCCAGCAGGCTGGACCAGGGTGGAAGGTCAGCTCTGCAAGGTGGGGAGGGGGCCACTCTTGTCCTGAGAAGAAGCGTGGCCTTGGGGTGCCCGGGAGGGACCCCTGCCCTTTGGCCTCAGCACCCGGAGGACGCCCCCCCCCCCCCCCGGGGGGGGCCGGGGCTTTGCGGTGGCCCCAGGCCGCCCCGGGTGGGGGGAAAAGCCCCCCCCCCTCCAGCCCATGAAGATGCTGGAGTGTCCTGGAGCCGCCCCAGCTCCACCACCCCCCGCAGCTTCCTCTCAATTATTCTCACCTAAATAGGACAACTTTAAAAATACAGTCCTGTGCTATGTACAGAATATATATATCTATATATATCTATATATCTATATATTTACAGCCTCCCAGGAGGGGGCAGCGTTCTGCTTTTGGAGAACTATTCACATTGGTTAAAAGCTCCACAGTTTTCCTCTTCTGGGGGAGGGGCTGCCCCCAGGGGTCCAATGCATGTGTTTTGGTATAAGGTGAGGCACCAGAAACGGGGTGGGGGGTGGGGACAGAAGCAGAGCACTCCCCTTCCTTCCTACTGGGGGGTGGGGGGGGGACAACTCTGCATCCAAGGGGGCAGCCTAGCTCCCCTCCGGTATCCCTGGGCCTGCAGCTGTCCAGGGTTCACTACGATTCTGGCTTGAGGGGAGCCGCTGGCTGGAAGACCCTAAGTGCAACGGGGTTGAGGAGCGGCAGAGATCCCCTTGCGCACACACACACCCATTTGTGTGTGTGTGTGTGTGTGTGTGTGTGTGTGTGTGTGTGTGTGTGTGATGGGAGCCTGGGCCGAAAGACAAACCAGAAAGGTCGGGGGTTGCAAAGCTGCTGCGTGGAGCCCTTTTTCCCTCCCCGGCCTCTGGGGGAGGGGCTGGTGGGGTTGGTGGTCAGGCTGGGGGAGGGGCTGGTCAGCTAAGCAAGGCTTGTCAGCTGGCCCAGTGGGTGCCAAGAGGCCCCTGGCCCGGGAAGCTCTCCCCAATTGCCTGGGGGAAGTGAAGCTCCTTGTTCCACAGAGCCCCCACCCCACCTCGGGTCCCAAGAGAGGGGCAGGGCCCTGAGTGGGGGGCTTTCCCTGCGCAGAGCCTGGCACAGGAGGTGGGGGGGAGAGGCCAGCGTTGGCAAAGGAAGCATGCTGGTGGCCTCGGCTGGCACCCTCTCCCCACCTGGGAGCCGGGCGGAGGGGCAGGAACCTCTCCACCCACCCCCATGGCAGATCTGGGCCCCGCTGAGCTGAGGGTGGGGCTTCATCCTCCCACCCCAAGACACAGGCCGGGTGGGGCTTGCTGCAGCTTGGGGCGGTGGGCACAAAGGGGGAGGGGCAAGGCTCTTGGGGCACAAACCTTTGGGCAAGGAAGGGCCTCGGCCAGCTACTCAGGAGTAGATGGTGATCACCTCCCGCCCCCCCCCCACGAACCAGCAGCACCCGGTCCAGGTGCTCCGTCAGCACCTCCAGGAACTCCATATCTGGGGGGAGGGGTGTCAAGGCTTGTCTCTGCAGGAGCCGCTGTGCGGCAGAGCCCCTCCCCCAAAACCTTCCCCACCCAGGACAGCCGGAGCAGCGCAGCCTGAGGTGTGGGAGGGCTCCCCTCCGAAAGGCCAAAGGACACCCAGCCCCACCAGGAGCAGAAGAGCCAGGGGGGCCTGAGGGAGGGAGGGGGCGGAGGCCCTGTGGGCCCAGGAGGGCTGGCAGGAAGGCCAGCGGAACAGGCTGCCACACGAAGTGGAGCTCTCCTGCCTTCGGAGGCTTCGAACCACTCTGGTGGCTCCTTCCCTGAGCAGAGGGGAGGGGTGGGCTAGATGACCGCTTAGGTGGTTTGCCACTCTGCAGTTCTGATTTTAAAAGGGGCTGCCCTGGAGCCCCTGCAGCACTCCTGGCCTCCTTCCTTCCCCAGGGGGATCTCCACAGGCAGTGCTGGCGGCTGCAAAGAAAGCACCCCTCCTCTCGACGGGGCAGAAGCCCAGCCCGCTTGCTCTCCGGGAGACCTTGGGAGATGGAGCTCCCTTGGGCAGAGAAGCGTTTCATCTGGCAGCCCCCGAACCCTCCCCAGCCCCCACCCCCAGCTGGGCCCTCCAAGGATACAGTTCTCGTCCCCCTTGCGGTTCCGGGGGGGACCCGGCATGTTGAGCAGCACCAGCTTCGCGTCCTGCGACTTCCGCACAATGGCCTCGTTCAGCCGGATGGCCGTGTGCATCCGCCTCACGTTGGACTGGTTCCTGGGGGAGAAGACGGGCCGGTGGGAAGGGGCGGCCATGCAGGTCTGGGGTACAGCCTGCCAGGAGGGGGGATGGCAGAAGGGAGACTCCCTCCCCGAGCAGCCAACAGGGCACTTACAGGCTTTCCCACTCCCTGGCAGCGACCGCAGCAGGCAGGAGCAGTGGTGGAGGCAGAGGGAGGAAGGGAGAGCATGTCATTACTGGGGTGGGGGGTTGCTTGACCCCCCCCCACTTCCCCCCAGTCTCCCCTCCCCGCTCACGGCTTCATGTTGAAGAAGTCCTTGATGCTCTCGGAGCTGACGGGGCTCTTGGCTTTGCTCTTCTCGGCCTCCTTCTCCTTCGTCCAGGTGAGGTGCACCTTCTCGGGGGCAGCCTCGGCCTCGGCCTCCTCCTCTCCCCCCGGGGACTGCGGGTCGCCTGAGAAGCCGGTGGCATTCTTGTCGTGGATCAGCTGCACCTGTTGAGTGGCCGAGCAGTGTCTCAGCCCTCCTGTCTGCAAGGGGGCTGCTCCAGACCTGAAAAGCTCGGAAGACGGAGCCACCTGGGCGCGACAGGCCCCAACCCCTCTTGTGAGGCCCCCTTCCCACAGCCCCCAGGCAGAGCTGAATCCCGGGTTGCTCAGCAGAGCTGGTATTGTGGCTTTGGGGGACTGAGCTGTGGTGGCTGGGAGAAGAGGAGGATGGGGAGACCCTGAGGGATGCCTGTGTGCAGGGGTGGATTCTACCGGTTTGGACTGGTTTTATAGAACCGGTTGTTACGATTCTGTGCAGTTCGGAGAACCGGCAAATGGCTGGCCCCGCCCCTCTCCACCCAGTCCGTCCTTATCACACATGCGCGACATCACTGGCTGCATTCTCCCCACCCAGTCACTCCTTAAGGGGTTTTTTCCTTCCAACGATCAGCTGTTCTGATAATCAGCTGTGCCAGGATCCCTTTCGTTGTCTTAACTGCTTCGCCCAGGAGGCTTCCCTGAGGCCCAGGAGGCCAAAAAACAGAGTGCCGGGGGGGGGGGGGGGGGGTTGTTGCAAAAAAGAAGAAGCCACGCCCACTCAGTCACATGGCCACACCCATCTAGCCACACCCACAGAACCAGTAGTAAAAATATTTGCATCTCACCCCTGCCTTTCTCTCTGTGTGTGTGCCTGTGTGTGTGTGTGTGTGTGCGCGCCCATCAGCCCAACTTTTCCCCCTTGGAGAGGCCCATCCTTGGGCTGCAGCTCAATTCCCGTCCGGTCTCTCTCGGTCGCTGGAGAGGGAGCTGCTGCTGGCTTTGCCCAGGTGGGTTCTGGTGGCAGCCCCCTTGGGGAGGCCTAGATGTGCAGGCAGCCCAGAGGGTGGCCCATGTCAGAGGCAGTGGGGGTGGGGGGTGTGCCCCACCCAGGCTGGACTTCATCCGGAGAGGGCCAGCCCCCTCCCTCCATGGCTCTTCTGGCCACTCCGGAAGGTGGCCCCCGGGCTCCAGGGCCCCATGGGGGGAGGGAGAGGGAGATCCTGGAGCCCATCAGGAGGAGACCCAAGATCTTGGAGGGAAAAGTCTGAACTGCTTTGGGTGCCTTTAACATGGCAAAGAAGCCCCCCGGGGGGGGAGGGGGGGGGAGGTTGGGTAGAAGCTGCTGAAGGGCTGCCCCATGGAAGAGGCTTTGGGGCCTGTCAGGAGGAGGACAACTCACAACAAGCTGGGCAAGTAGCCCCCCTCCCCCCCAGCCCTTCCAATCCTGACCTTCCATGCCACCCACGCCTGCCCTGCCGGCTCCCCCTCCCCTCTCCTGCGTTGCTGTCTCTGACACCCCCTCCCCCCCCCCCCGCACTTGGCCGCCTTACCTCTTCTTCCGGCTTCTCCTCACTGTCGCCCACCTGCTCGTCTGGGACACTGAGCCGCAGGTGGGTGTTGGGGGGGTTTTTGCGCCGGATGGAGCCCCGGGATTCGTCCGTGATGCTCTGGATCTGGGGCAGAAGGCAAGGCGGCTTCAGGCTCTCTGCTCAGATGCCAACCAGGCTCAAGTGGAACGGGTGAAATGGTGGCAGCACAGCGCATGCGGCGCCTTTCCGACACATGTTGGGTTCTCTCCCCCCCCACCCCCACCCCCACCCCCCAGTTAAAAATGCACAACCCAGAAATTGCTGGGTGCTTCTCTGCCCTTTGGGGGCGTTTTGGCCCAATTGCACCGAGATGCACCCAGGGGCCCAGGGCAGAGATGGGAAGCAGAGGGCCGGCTTGTGTGAAGGCGGTAGGGGGTTTGGCCTTGCCAGCCAGGAAAAGCCAGGATTTCCCCTTTCTCGGCACGGCGGGGGGAGAGGGTGGGGGGCAGGCTACCTCCCGCTCCCGCTCCGTCTTGGTCAGGTGCATCTGCTTGAGGATGAGCGACCTCTGCTCCATCACCAGGGTCTTCTCGTAGGTGTAGGCTGAGATGTCGCTCTCATGCTGCGGGACAAGAGGGAGCGGCGTCTGCCTTCAGCAGGGCTGGCATCGGTGGGCACCAGTGGGGGGTCCCCCGTGGCAGAGGCCCCACCAGGAGCCCAGAGGTGGGAAAGCCAGAACCAGGGACTGGAAGAGGGGGCGGCCTGGCCAAGAGATGACCGGGGTCTCCCTGCCCCTCTTGGGCCGAGAAGGGGGAGCTGCGGGGAGGCTCCGGGCTGCTCAGGACGTGGCGTGTGTGTGGGGGGGGGTGCAGGCAGGGGCCGGCCAAGAGGAGCCCGAAGAGCAGGGCTGGGCTGCTGCCCCTCACCATCTCCACCACCTCCACCTCGGCCGTGATGCGCAGGTGGTAGAGGAAGGTGGTCAGGTCCTTCTTCATCTGGATGCTGTTGTCGTCCATCTGGGCCACTGTGAAGATGCGCATCCTGCACTTGCGCCAGACCTGCATGGGGACACACAGACACACATACACACTCCGTGGGCTCAGCCATGTGGACCCTCCCGATTGCCACCCCATCTCCAAGATGTGCTGGGCTCCCTGCAAGAAGGGCCCCTCCCTACTTGGGCTCCTGGGGCCCTGGAGGGCAGGAGTGCCAGGGGAAGGGAGGCCCCAGGGCTGTGCCTGCCATGCCAGGCCCAACCCCTCTGGGGGGTACCTTGTGCTGGCGCAGTAGGAAGGGCAGCAGCATCAGCATCCCCCCGTCATGCACGATCCACCAGACGTCGATGTGGCCCTCTGGGAAGCGCTCCGTGTTGGCCGGGAACATGGCCACGTTCTTGGCCACCAGCAGGGCCATGTGGCCAGCCGTGGTCTCTCGCACCAGCTCTGGGGGAAACAGGCAAAGGGGAAGACGTGCCAAGATGCCCAGGAAGGGAGGGAATCCTCAAGGAACCCCCCCCCCCCCAAGAACAGCAGAAATGCCACAAGCAGAACCGAGGACGGAGCAGAGGCCTCAGTGCCGGGGTGGAGAGGGCCTGCAGTGGGGGGGGGGCGCAGAGATTCCCCCCCTTGGCCGGAGAAGGCCAGCTGCAATTGGGTGCGGGGGGGGGCAGATGCTTCCTCCCTGCTGCTGCCTGTGGGGCCCCCACCCCTCTCACCAATGAAGTTCCTCCAGGTCTGGTGGTCTTCCTTGCTGCGCCAGTTGCGTGGCCAGCCGACCAGCACCGTGTTGTGCTGCAGCCCTCCGAGGCCGCTGGACTGGATGAGGTGCGACATGCCGTCCCGGACGTTGCAGGAGGTCACCACCTGGCAGAAGCCCTTGACCTTCTCGGCCTCCATCAGCCGCCGGATCGACTGGGCGGGGGGAGCAGAGAGGGGAGGTCGTGCCTGGCGCCCCACACCTGCCCTGGGAGCCCCGTGGGGTAGAGGCTGGGCAGAGGGGAAGGTCTCCCGCAGGCAGTCCGGCTGCGCTCACCTCCTCGGCCCGCTGGACCTGCAGGTGGTTGTCCAGGAAGGTGCCGTCCAGCACGGAGCCCACGATGGTCAGCCCCTTGCCGGCCTTGAGCTGGTTGGTGAGGGAGAGCAGCTGCGGGTGAGCGACGTTCTGGTCCTGATCCACCCGGATGAGAACCAGCAGCTGCGGCCTGGGAAGAGGGAAGCCGGAGGCCTTTAGCCCCCAGCCAGCCAGCCACCCACCCACCCGTGGTGCCCTTCCCCCTGGTCTTTTGACCTGAAAGAGCAGCCCTCCGCCTCTGCCAGCCCTCCCCCCCATCTCTTCTGCTCTTTCCCTCTGGGAGAAACCCAGGACGGGCAGCCCCCTTCCAGGCCCAGGTCCCGAGGGGCCCTCCAGTCACACAGCTGGCTCCTCTTTGGACCTGAGAAAAGGCTGCGGGCTGCCCCCAAGACCCCCTGGAGCCTGGAGGGAGCCCGGATTCTGCTCCTCGGAGCCATAACTGCCCCTCTCCTCGGCTCCAGGTGCCACCCTGGGAAAGCGGGAGGCTGCCACTGAATGCCGAGCCTGGCCCAGTAGGGCAAGAGCGGCCGGCCACCCTTTGGGACCCCCACCTACCCAGGCCCAGCACCAGCCATGCCCCCCCCCCCCAGCACAGCCGACTCACCTCCAGTTCTTGGTGTGGGGCGGCCCCTCCTCCAGGCGCAGCAGGGCGTAACGGGCCGCGCTGAGCGAGAGGCCCCGGATGCCATCGCCCCACTCCTTCTCTGCCCTGGAAGAGGGAGGGTGGGGGTTGAGCTTTGCCCCCCCCCACGCCCCCCAGTGTCCCTCAGGAGGGGGGAGACACCTCCTCGGCAAGACGGGGCCAAAGCCCAGCGGGTGACCCCCCCACCCCCCACAGCAGGAACATCCTGCCCACCTGGCCAGTGTGCCAGTGGGGCTGGGTGGGGGCAGCCGTGGGCCACTCACCCTCGGTACTCGATGTACTTGTAGATGAGCCCCGCGATGAGCATGGCGACCAGGGCGTAGTACCAGGAGCAGATGAACATCAGCGCCAGGCAGAGGCTCATGCCCAGGAAGGAGAGGGTCCTGCAAGACCCCAGGGGCCACGTTGAGGCAGGAGGTTGCCCCCTGGACCCACCCCCCGTGGGACTCCCCGGAGGAGGGCACCCACCAGTGGTAGTAGCGAAAGCGTGGGCGCCAGTTGGGGGTCCTCAGGAGGGTTTGCACTGCACAGGCCAGGTTGACGAACATGTAGCACATCAGGAAGAACCTGGGAGGAGGAAGAGGGGTGCTCAGTGCTGGGGAGGTGGAGGAGCCCCCGCCCAGCTTGCAAGGACAGAGCCCCCTCCCCTCCCCGGCTTCCAAGGCCTCGTTTGGCTCCCCTGCCGGCCTTCTAGGCCCTGAAGGGGCTCAGATGGGGGGGGCGTACATGGAGAGGATGGGGGCCACCTCGTCCAGGGAGGCGATCAGGATGCCGATCTCGCAGATGCAGGCCGTGAGTAGGAGGGCCCAGGTGGGCTCCCCATTCGCCTTGCCGTGGCCGAAGACCTGCGGAGAAAGTGCAGGAGGAGAGGGGGGCTGGGCCACAGGGTCCAGAGACCCTGCATTGGGACCCCCCAGGGTGGACCAGACGCCCCCATCCCCGCGAGAGGAGCTGCTTCTCAGACGGAATTCCTCCTTGCAGCTCCAAGCATCCCCAGGTCTTTGGGAGGGGGCAGCATGTTCTGCATCCCCCCCACCCCCCAGATTCTGTCTGCCCCCTGCAAGTCCTGATCCCCTTTGCTGTGGGCTGCAGTCGCCTGCCGAGGTGGCCTGGGGGTGGAGGGCAAGCCGGGGTGTGTGTGTGTAAGGAGGGATGGGGAAGGCAGAGTGGGCACAGAGCCCGGCAGTGGGCTATGCGGGTGGGGAGAAAACAGGGGCAGGAGAGAGGGGCAGTTTCGGCAGTTCCAAGAGGGCTGCACACAGGGGTGGTATTCAAATTTTTTAACAAGTGTCAGGGTTAAAAAGCCCAGCCCAGGTGGTCAGCAAGAGCGGCGGAAGGAGGACGGAAGTGGAAGGTCCGAGAGCAAAGAAGACGTGGCAGTAAAGGGTGGTGTCCTTGAGAAAGAGGAGGGGGCCACGGAGTGACGGGCGGCCGGAGAGGCCCACAGCGCCAGAGGGAAGGGCGAGGGAGGTGTCCCTTGGCCTCCTGGGCCTCCCTCTATCCCGCGGCTGCAGCAGGAGGCTCAATCCTCGGAAGGAGGGAAGGTTGGGAGGAGCTCAGCTCTGGCGGCGCAGAAGAGAACGGCTGGACTGGCCCCGGGTTGGACTGGACGATCTTGGAGGTCCTTTCCCATTCTGGGAAAAAGAGACTGGGGGGGGGCTGCAGTAGCAGATTCCTCCCCTGCCAAGGGCTAGACTAGATAACCTCTAAGGTACCCCTGAGGCCTCAGGAGGGGGCGGATCCCAGCTGAGCAGCCAGGTAACCTCCTACCAGGCTGCTTCTAGAGCGGCTTCGAGGGATGCATCCTTTGTAAAATGCTCCTTTGCAGGAAAAGCCATTGCAGCCAGCTGCTCATTGGTCAGTGCAGTGTGTGTGTGTGTGTGTGTGTGTGAGATCCCCCCCCCCCCCCTGAGTGTGTGTGTGTCTCTGTGCGAAGGGCGAGAGGACGGGTGTCTCCTTGCATCAACCAGCGGCTTCTCTCTCTCCAAAGAACGTGGCAGGCCAGGCAGACTCTGGGCAATGGGAGGGGGGGCTGCAGTGGCCCCTCTCACCAAGTCACAGCAGGAGCTTATCCTACTGGGGGACCCTGAGGGGCCCTTCGACTCGGTGGCCCAGATGCCCAGGGTGCCCCCCCAGCCTATCCCAAGAGGAGGCACATGTGCCAGGGCTGCCAACCTGCTTTGCTCCATCGCTGCTTTGCTGCTGCCAGACTGCCATGAACCCTGGTGTGTGTGTGTGTGTGTGTGTGTGTGTGTAGATCGGAGACGGAAACCACTCCAGGTGCCTGCCAGAGACATCGTCTGCAGACCCCAAGGCTACCGGCATGGGAGGCGGACCATCACCGAGCCCGCCAAGCACCAGAACCAAAACAATCGGCTTGAATCCAATTGGACACCGGGGAGATAACGGGTGGGGGGGGGGGAAGGACCCAGGAAAGGGGAAAGCCAGCAGGCAGTTTTGGGGCACAAACCTCAGAGCCGCCTTTTTCTTTTGGGGGGCAGTCCCAGGCTCGCTCGTCCTAAAGGGCCCCCTGGTCCTGCCCCCTCCCCTGCTCTCCCCACCTACCCGGAGGAAAGGCACGATGCCGTCGCGTGAGATGGCCTGCAGCAGGCGAGGGGCCCCCGTGAGGCTCTGCAGCCCAGCTCCGCAGGTGGAGAAGAAGGAGCCGAAGACGATCACCCAGGGGGAGGGCCAGGCCAGTGTGCCCACCACCAGGTTGCCACTGACCGCCTCGCCGAACCTGGAAGGGCAAAAGGGCGCTGAAGGTGGGCCCCTCTCGGGTGGAAGCCCCGGCCTCCAGGGGCCTCCCAGGGCTGGCCTTGGCCCGAGGAGGCTTCCCCTGCGCAACCAGAGGACCTGTCCCAGACCCAGCTATGCCAAGAGGGAGAAAGCTCCCCTGCCAGTCTCTCCCAGCCCTGAAAGCTGGTCATGCCACCTGGACCGGGGGGGGAGGGGCTGGAGGCAGAGCTGGGTTCCCCCCAAGAGGCAGTGGGGAGGGTGTGCTTGCAGGAGGAGGGGTGTCCCGGGCACTCACTTGTCTCTTAGCACCACGCCCTCAATGCAGGCGCCAAACAGCACCACGGAGCTGATGTCTGCAGGGGCATCAAGGAAGCCAGGCGGGCAGGAAGGCAGGAGGATCTGTGCCAGGTGGCCAGGGCCCCCCTCCCACCCCCAGTCAGTGGTACCCAGGGAAGTCCGACTTCCCCGCGGGGCCACTTTCTTTGCTGGCAGCCCCCAGCCCTCCTCCCTCTCCCCACGTAGGCTCAGCTTCTGTAAGAGAGGAGGCCTGCAAGGGAGTCTGAGGCCAGCCCCCCCCCCAAGAGAGGGTCTGCCTGCAGCGCCAGGGCCCGGTCTAGGGTCCAGTGCACACCCCACGGGGCCTTTGGGGGAGCCTGTCTGGAGGGGCCCCGTCACTCTGCGACCCAAAGGAAGGGCTCTCGAGGCAGCACCCTTCACCCGGCAGCCCACCCGTGCCAGCCAAGGATACAGACAGCGGAGGTGGTGGCGATGGCGAGGATGGTGCCTGTGGGGATCGACTTCTGCGCATCCCGGAGATCCCCGGACCGGTTGGAGCCAGCCATGATCCCTGCGGAGGGAAGCTGGAGGTTCAGGCCTGCCTTCCCCCGGGGCTCCCCCGCCCCCCAATCTAGGCAGGGGGAGGAGGAGGCGGCAGAATGACCAGAGGGAAAGGCTGCTGGGCGTATGTTTTTGTGTGTGTGTGGGGGGGGGGGGAGACCGGCCAAGGCCTGGTGCTGCTGGACTCCTGGCCAGAGTTGGGCAAGTGGAAGAAGGGAAGGTTTGCCTTGACGCTCCTTGCCTGGGCTACCTGGCAGGGCTGGCATCAACCTGGGGAGTCGGAGCGCTCCTCTTCCAGGCATTGTGGGGAGCAGGAGAGCCTCCGCCAGCCACCTTTCCAGGAGACCCCCCCCCCCGGCTGACCAGGCCTGATCCTCCCCCGTTGAGCTGGAGGCCAAGCGCCAGGATTTCCGCTCCGGAAAGGGGTTCCCAGCCCTTCCGGGAGAGCCTCTCACCGGTGACGGAAGGGAAGTAGATGCCAACCAGGAGGGTGAAGTAGGAGGTCATGTCGCTGAAGACGTAGGGCTGGTCCATGTCCGGCACCCCCTCGGTGTGGGGCACGGAGCTCATCCCCGCCCGCTCGATGAAGATGCCCTTCGGCAAGTAGGTGCTCCAGAGGTTCACTGAGGAGAGAGGAGGCTGCAGCTCCAGGACCCATCCTCCCCTGCCGGGGCCCTCCTCACTGCGCCTTCCTCTCCCCCCACCAGAATAAGAGAGACCCCCGGGGCTGATGGCGGCTCTGGGGTTAAAGTGGAACATCCTGTCCCCAAAATCCTCCACCAGATCTAGCCAGACCCCCGTGGACGGCGGCTCTCCCCCCACTGCCCTCGAGGAGAGGGCCTAGCTGGCTTTCCCCCTCCCAATGAATCATGAGGGTCTCTCTGCCCCCCCCCCCCCCAGTACGGGGCTCCTGGTACCTTGGATGAGACCAGAAGCTGCTCCGGGGATGCCCTGAATCTCTGTGACGTTGTTCTGGCTGAAATACTCGTCGCAGGTGGCATTCAAGAAGCGCGAGGAGCAGAAGAGAGCCCACAGCTCAGAGCCCATCGTCTCGTTGCCCACCTGGACCACCTTGGTACACACGTCAAAGCCGTGGCGGGACAGAGTCCGGTTGCCCAAGAGGCAAATCCTGCCCAAAAGCCGAAGGGAGACTGAGGGCTCTTGGCCGGCTCCTCAAATGGGCCCTGCAAGTAGCCCCCCTTCCCCTCCCTTCCCCCCACCTCAGGCAGGGACAGCCTTTGCAAGGGGGCGTTTCCAGGCAGCCAGCTGAGGACCCAGAACCTCGGGGTGCTTCTGCCCCCCCCCAAACAGCCCAGCGGAGAGGTGGCTCAGTGGGGCGGCCAGGATCCCTTTGGGTCGTCCAGCCTCTCTCCAACTCCTCTGGAAGCCGGGTGTGGAAATCTCCAGGCCCCAACGGCACTCGGGCCCCGAGGAGCCTCTGGGAGAAGGTGGGGCCCCTGTTGCTGCCCATTGCCCCACCCGCTCTCGGGCCAAGGGAGCCCCCAAAGAAAATGGGTGCTGGAAGTGAAAGGCAGGAGGAAGAGTGCGGGGGAGGGGCAGAGAGCACCCAGGGGAGGGGGATCCCTTTGCTGCTCTCCATCCCTTTCGGCTCCTGCCAGCATCCTGGCACACCCCCCCCCCGGCACAGAGCCCTTCCCCCTCCCCCTCTCCTGCCCTTGGGTCTCCCCGCTCTCCTGGGCAGGATCTGACCCAAACCTAGCTTTCCTCCTCCTCCTCCTCCTCTCCTGCAGCTTCCTAAACTGCCGCCCCACTCAGTGCCGGAACGGGGCAACTCACTCCAGCCAAATTCGCCACAGGACCATTGAACCAACAATTCCTTCCCCATCCCAGACCACAAGCGCCTCCTTCCAACCAGCCCTTGCACACCGTCCGCTTCTGATCCTTTACAAACATGCCACCACCCTCATTCCCATTGATTTGCTCCCCCAGAGATTTCACAATTGCCGTCTAAGTTGCAATTGTCTGCTCCTATTTCCCCACCAGACACACCAGCCTTCCTCCCCATGAATGGATTTTCAGAGCCATAATCCTCACTGCAACGCAGCGTTTGTGGCAAAACCTTCCAGATCTCCGTGGGCGGCAGAGAATGGGCCTCTGCGGGCATCCCTGATCAAGAGACCATTCACGTCACGGGTTTCTTGTGCGCCCATTCGTAAAAAATGAAACTGGGGCATCACAATCCTTGTGGAATTCTTACTCGGTGTTGAACCTCCAAGCTAAGCATCCCGTCTTCGCTCTCCATTTTACTTCCATTCAGCAATCAGCTGTGAATTATTCATGTTTAACATTTTCTGAGTCGAGCTGCAGCCTTTTCCTAAAACTAATAAGCTTGCAGGAAACTTTCCCTCCCCCGTTGCTGCACTGCTTAACGAGGTGCTAAAGAGCCCAACCTCCCCTGCCCTAAAGCAACCCCGGGAAGCCCCTTCGCAGACCCAGCGGTTGCCCCACCCACCCCGAATTCACCCTTCAACCCATTTTCCCTTCGCACCGGGGAGCAAGAACGGCCTCCTGCCAATTCGGCCTCCCTCCCAGAGCCAAGCGCATCCATAATGGAGCATTTTCCCAGTTGCACCACCTTTCTCTGGCCTCGTTTAGCCTTCTGGCACCACTGGTGACGGCCTCTGGTTTTCCCTTAGGCACCCAGATGTGGAGCAGTCACTTTGGTTCCCATCAGGGCCATCGCTTCACTCTCACCCCCCCCCCCCCGACTCCCCAACGAAGGCCTCCGTTTCTCCCCCCTCCCTTTTATTTTTAATTCCATGCTCTTCACCGGAGGCGCCTGGTGCTCTAATTCCCTGCCACCTTTTCTTCCCGTCAAGGCCGGTCTGCTCCACACTTCCCTTCGGTCTCAGCCGGCCCTCGCCCTCTCAGAGGCTGGCTCTCCCGGGGAGCCCCTCCTGGCTTTGGGGGGGTTCTGCCCCGTTTCCCCCCACGGCTCCCCCACCCCTGGCCTTCTGGGCGCATCAACACTTCACCCTCCGCACCCTTCTGGGCCTGCCCACCCCCCTTTCCTTCCTGTCTGGAGACCCTCCGGCTGCCTCTTCTGCCTTGTGTCCTTCTCCTGCACACCTGTGGCATAGAAACAGGGCGTGGTCTGCGTGACTTTCCACCTTCCGATACCCGCCTGCCGTTCTCATCGAGCGTGGAAAGGACTCAGAGGGCCAGCCCTGCACCCTGTTCCTGGCCCCCCTTTCCAGGCGTCCATGGGGGAGCCTGTCTGGTAACGGTCAGGAGGCCCTCCAGCCCACTCCCACCCTGGACTTCCCAGGACGGGCTGTGTGTGTATGTGTGTGTGTGCGCGCGTAGCCCTTCCTCCTGTTTGCTGATTGGGTGGGGTTTTTGCTTTGTGCAAACGGGAGCTGAAGGTGCCCAGAGTCCCACTTTCATCTCACAGGCCAAGTCCCCTCAACGCCCTTCTGGGGAAGGCCAGAGCTCCTTTCCCTGCAGCTGTTCCTCCGAGCACATCTGGGCACCACTGCCCTATTCAGCCCCACAGGGTGAAGAAGGACGACGGGACCTTGCAGGAGGCAGCTGGAGGCGTTTTTGCAGCCCTGGGTGCCGGCTGCAGGTGCCGGTCGCTGGGCTCAGGCCTTCCGTTGGCTCGTCATCGCTCGGCCCTGGCACTCCGGCCTTCCCTGGGGCGCCTGCCGGGTCGCAGGGAAGCCGGGCGGTGGGCAACGCTGGTGGAGGCAGAGTCCCCCGGTCAAGCCGCCCCGCCGCCTTCTCCAGCCTTAGGAACTGTCGCCAGGAGCCCCGAGAGCCGCCCACCCCACCAGGCACTTACGGGAAGGAGGGCGGGTCGAAGGCGGACTTGATGACCCCCGCGTAGATGGCCAGGATGGAGAGGATGACGCAGCCCAGGAAGACCAGGGCAAACTTGTTCACATACTTCACGCCCACGAAGACAACGGTGGCCATGAAACTGAGGACGCACGTGCCGTAGACCCGCATGTTGTTCAGCAGCGCGGCCGGTTCCCCACTGGCGTCCTCGGCCTTGAAGATGGCCATCGGGGGGAAGATGTAGGCCTGGCGGGAGGCAGGAGCGGCGCTCAGGGGGGGCTTGGGGGTCTCCAGCCCTTCTCTTTGGAGCTGCTCCCCCCAAGGCTGCCCGGGGCCCTTGCAAGCCAGCACAGAGGCCGGTCAGCCGATCAGCCTTCAGCCCGAGGGCCCCTCAGCAGGGGAGGTGGGGGGGCTCTTCGTGGCCCCCAAAGGGCCATTTCCCCAGCACTTTGGTGAGGGGGGGGCTGCATCTCTTTCTCCCCCTTTGCTCAGTTTTGGGGGGGGATTAAATGTCAGGTTGAGGTTTCTTGAGGCAGCCAGTCTGTCTTCTCCCACCCGACTCCCATGGGGGATGCTGGGACTTCCTGCAGCAGGTGCCACTGGCCGGCACAAGAGACCGAACCCCTCCTCCTCCTCCTCCTCCTCCTCCTCTTTGTTCTTTCGGTATTTGCTGCCCTCCCCACTCCCCAGGCCGATCCTTCCTGAGCCTCCCTGCCCTCCCTGGGTGGGTGGGGAGCCTTGCATGAGCCCCCCAGCGGCCTCCTCGGCCCCTGTGGCTTCTTGGGGGCCTCTGGAGGGACAAACCACGGCTGGCTTAGAACCCTGGAACCCAAGGGCTGGGAGGGACCTTGGAGGTCATCTAGTCCTCATCCCCTCTCAGCCAAGGGTTATCCAGGGAGGTATCTCTGCTGACGGGGGTCCCTCCCGGCCCTTGAAGAGCCCCCTGGGGGGCTTCCTGCAGAGGGACTAGCTGGGAGGGCTCTGAGGTCCAACTGGGGTTCTGTTGCTCAGCCCCTCCACCAAGGAGGCCTGGCCGAAGGGAAATGTGGCCGGGGGGGGGGGGGGGGGGGGGGGGGGGGGGGGAGTCGGGGGGGGCAGTTCCAGTAGGAGGGTCTTTGCTCAGGGAAAGCCTCCACAGGCCATTAGAGGGAAAAGAAGGCGAAGGGGTCACCCCTAAAGCCTGCAAGATCTCTGCCCTCTTGGGAGGAGCGGTGGGGCTTGGGGCCCTTCCTCCAGCGAGGGGCCCCATCTGAAGGGCCCCTGGATCTCTCGGGGGGTGGAGAGGGAAGGTTACACTACATGCTTGCCCCCCTCCCACCACACGAGGCTGCTGAGCACCCTGAGCCAGGAGGGGCCAGCAAAGGAATCCTGGGAAGCAGCAGCGGGGCTTGGCAGAAGCCCCCCATCCCAGAAGCAGCCAAGCCCCCCCCC